GCAGGGTTGCAGAATCATGGCTCGGCTATCTGATCCTCGCCTCACAATAATTGGTAGCTCACCAGTCGTCTGGCCTTTCCGGGGCAATAGTTCATGTGACTTGCCACCACCATGCTAGCTGCGAATTGGTTGGCCACTCAATCCACTGTAGGAAGCGATCATGGTGGCTGCGCCTCACATCATGGTGGAGATTTGGCCGACTGGCATTTGATGTCAATCTGGGTGAGGGATTCACTGAGTTTACAACAATAGGGCAAAACGGTGTACCCTCTGCAAGTCCACATACTCAAGTCAATTCCTAAACATAACTCCATAAAGGATGCTTCCCCACAAAGCGCCCACAAATATCCCGCTTAGTTCCCACCAACAGAGGGAAGCAGGATTGTTGCGATGCCAGCTATATGACACAGGGAGAGTCGCAAACGGGGGACCAGAAAATGCTAATGTTAAATTCACCTTGGCTAACTCAGACTTGTTGAAACAATTTACTTCCTAACTGCTTGGTTCCTTTGCACTCAAAGTTTCCGTTCTCCTCGACTTTCTGACTCTCAAGTCTTTGCTTCCGGGACCATGAGAAAATGCGTTCAAGAAGGCCTTTCCAGGCAATGAAGCCAGCACCAATTCAACAAATGTAGTAATTTGACAGCATCAAGTTTCCAGGAAATCTGCCGTACTGATTTTCGAAAATCAAGGACACATCCAAGTTTGCCCTTGACTTGATCAAGAGCACAAACTAAACAAGAACAATCAAGAACACCAAGTTTGCGCGGCATCAAGCAAAGTTATGAGGAATCCAAGTAAGTTAATTACCAGCCCATGACAACTGGGACCCACGCCATCACAAAGGCCACCATCAAATGCACGTAAGCTTGCTGTCATCACACAGTTCGTTGTGCCTTCTTGGGTGCTTCGGCTTGCTGCCCCCGTTGTTGTTGCTCTGCTGGCCTGTTGTCTACCTGCTGTTCTGGGCTGCTGCTGCTCCTTGCAATGGGAATTAGCCCAGAATGGTGAAACTGAAGTAAAATGTTCCATGAATCGTTCGTAGAGTGGATACCATCTCGAAACTCGGAATTCCCTTCCGGCAACGAGCAATAGCTAGTACTTGTACGAGTGGCCATCTTCAACATCTGTGGGTTGAAAACTGGTGCACGTTTCACTCCCGTCCCTTGAACCTGAAACTGGAAATGGTATGACATTGATCGTGTATTGCATGCATCATCCATGGAACTTTGACCCCATGTTGAGCTTGGCCACAGCCAATACACCCATACACCCAACGAAACAAATGAAAGTAAGACCCTGGAGATCATCTTGTGATCCTTGAGACATCACTCAATAGTTGTGGGAGCGTCCAACTCCACCTGAAGAATTTTCTCCAATCTATGCTTATGTCTTGGAGAGTTCTTGCTTCTTACATTGGACAAGAGTCCTAGTTGAGCTGCCACTCGTATCCATCGTGCTGAGATCTATGGAAGTTCAGGTGATTTGCAATCCATTGCCCATGTCACCACATTGGAAGACAGCCGTTTGAAATTATATACGTGATCACAACAAATCCACCACAGACAGGAATTTGCGGCTTGAGGCTATACCACTAATGGCTGCACGGCAAGGATCCAGCACGTGCTAGCTCAATCCGTATCCCACACCGAGATCGAGATACTCAATTGGGATTACTTCTTCCACATGAAGCCCCATGGAACCACTTTTTTTTTCATTTTGGAATATGACTTATTTGAAATTGAACCCCAACAAATGTTGGATATCTTTAAGTATTCACACTTTGGATCCATGAGTCCATGTTCAGTACTTTTTGCATTTTCATGCATTTCTAGTATTGACTGTCAACTCTTGGGCATCCCAATTCTTACCCACACCTCCCAGAATTGCAGGGTCTACCCTTGTCAATTTTGTAGATTTCAGAGATAAAGTTAGAGACCGTGGTACCATGTTTTTGTATTGACAAATTGGGTTCCATCCATTTTTTAAACAGGGTTGTCAAAATGATCCTGTTGGAAATCAAATGATGAAACCAAATTTTGAGTCCCACAAACAAAATCAAACAAACACATGATGGCAATCAGCTGGACTTCTTTTTCGCCCACAGATCGGATTCGCCCTATTAACTATTGAGTTTTGTTGGTTCCATCACCAAAGAACGCTTTATAAAGATGAAGGCTCGGCTGGAGTGACAAGTTGACTGGATTTCTTCGAGATGAAGCGCTATTTGCTTTAGTATTTTTGTTAAATAAATTACGTTTTATTTGCATCCGGTCAATATCAAAGCGAATAGTTTAGCCTGGTTTTCATTTCTTTTGAGCCTTATTTAAATCAAAAAAATATGCGCTCCCGAGTGCGCAATTTATTTGAAACAATGGTCCAAACCATTGAATACCAGGCTACACTATCAAGTCATAAATAGACCTCATGGAATCCATGCAACTTAATGTACCTTTAGATTCGTTTAATAACGTTAAACTAAATCAAGCGCTCCGGAGCGCGTAATTCATGCAAATAAAGTTCAAAGCCATTTGGTACCAGCCTAAACCATTGTCTTGTTTTTTGACCCCATGGAAATGAAGCCTACTTTATTCAACAAACATATTAAAGTAAATTACGCGCTCCGGAGCGCATAATTCACCACATAAAGTTCAAAGACATTGAGTGCCAGCCTACACTATTGTCTTGTTGCGCGATTCTTCTTGAAGGCGGCGCGGCACGAACCCCACTGTTGAGTGATTCTTCTTGAATGGGGGTTGGCCAGAACCCCACTGTTGAGTGATTCTTCTTGAACGGGGATTGGCCGAACCCCATTGTTTAGTGATTCTTCTTGAACGGGGATTGGCCGAACACTATTGTTGAGTGATTCTTCTTGAACGGGGATTGGCCCGAACCCCACTGTTGAGTGATTCTTCTTGAACGGGGATTGGCCCGAACTCCACTGTTGAGTGATTCTTCTTGAACGGGGATTGGCCGAACCCCATTGTTTAGTGGTTCTTCTTGAACGGGGATTGGCCCGAACCCCGCTGTTGAGTGATTCTTCTTGAACCGGATTGGCGAGAACCCCACTGTTGAGTGATTCTTCTTGAATGGGGATTGGCCAGAACCCCAGTGTTGAGTGATTCTTCTTGAACGGGGATTGGCCCGAACCCCACTGTTGAGTGATTCTTCTTGAACGGGGATTGGCCGAACCCCATTGTTTAGTGATTCTTCTTGAACGAGGATTGGCCCGAACCCCACTGTTGAGTGATTCTTCTTGAACGGGGATTGGCGGGAACCCCACTGTTGAGTGATTCTTCTTGAACGGGGATTTGCCCGAACCCTATTGTTGAGTGATTCTTCTTGAACGGGCATCCTAGGCAATGAGTGGAATCCACTCAATTAGGTAGTAGGGAAAATCCCAACTCCCTTGTTGAGTGATTTGAGTTGAACGGGTCAATAAAGGAGAGAGCAAAACTTAACTCCCGTGTTGGGTAATTCTTCTTGAATTGGTGACATCAATTGCAAAACAAAGGGCTCAATAAGGGAGCGCGATGAAATCTAACTACCCTCTTGAGTGATTCAACTTGAATCACGCAACAAGGGAGTTAGGTTTTTCCTAACTCCCTTATTGAGTGGATTTGTGTTTTGCCAAGATTCCACCGCCAATCGAAGCTGATGGCTGATCCAAGCCAGCTGCGGAATCATGTGGGGACAATTCCTCCACTAAATGCAAAACATCACCATCAGCGCCAAACAGGCAATAGAAGGGAGTGGAGATGGAAGAAAGTGGCGAGTCCATGTAACCACACTTATATACTCGTGACATTATAGTGTCTCCATTTCCCACCAACAAAAAATGATAAACAATTTGAAAAAGCTTACTTACACAATTAGATCACTGCTTTCATAAAAGTGAGCATGTACATGCCCACAGTAATGGTAGCATCAAGCTGCGGAATGAATCTGAACCCAAGGGCCCCAACAAAGATGTTGGTATATGGAGCCCGTAGCCTGATGTTAAATGGATTTGAATGCCAGTTAAAGTAGATTACGCTTTTAGTATTTGAATGTGTTGAACAAAGTACGTTTCATTTACATGGGATCAACATACGAGACAATAGTTTAGGCTGGTACTAAATGATGTTGAACTTTACTTGAACAAATTACGCGCTCCGGAGCGCCTAAATGACTTTAGGCTTCAGTATTTGTATTGAATGTTCATTTCCATTGGGTCACTATACAAGACAATAGTTTAGGCTGCTACAGAAAAATTGAGTTGAAATCCAACATTAAAAGTGATTTTCTGAATGATATCAAATGGAGCTTTTAGACGACCCTGTTTTAGGCAGCCTTCCAAAGCAAAATAACATAATTCAGCAACCACTAATTTCTAGTTGTTTGGGGTTCAAGGAATGTGTCTGCAAAATGAAACAAACTGATTTGCCTTCTTTCCAATGCGAACAGCTTCTTAAGTGACTATGGGACTCATGAATGCTGACCTCAAAGATGCTTGTCTCTCTCCAGCTACGGCACAAAGTGTTAAGAATCCAACTCAGGATTTTGGTGCACCAAAAAGAACTACGTGGTGAAGTTCATTTCCAATTCAAGAGTGAACTTTGCATGTGCCAAGATGTGCCTTCCTTCTGACAGATTCCTGGTCAAATCGCCAGAGAAATGCCACAAATGTGTCACAAGTTGTCATGAGAACGCCGCAGGACAGCCACTTTGTCGGCTGCGCCGGCGACAACAGCCACACAGCTGCAAATTTCTGTACCTACACATCTTGTGGCAGTGCGGCCACCAACGAGTGCACAGCACCTAATAGCCAACACCACCGATATAAAACACCCTTGGCACGGGCCAAGGGAACCAAAAATGAGGACCCGACTCAGCTTTGTCCTTGTTGATGCTTTTGGGATTAGTATCTTTGTCGGACCTTTGTGTTTGTTTCACAATTCGGATTGCTACAAATCCTGTGATGATCCTTGAAGTGGCTGCATTCCTGCAAATTTCTGAGACTCCTCTTCCATAAACGAGGACAGCTCTGAGTCTACTTGGCATCTTTGTGATACGAAGGTCCCCGCAAAATTGTGGGCAGATGCAGATCGCGTCCCTCGCGGGACGCCGCGAACTCCCGGAAGAGCTCAGCATTCTGTCGGACAGCGTATTCCCCTTGCGCAGCCAACAAATTCACCTCACTGAATCTATGGCCAGGTGGCCCAGATGAATGGTGCGCATGAACTCGGCTGGACTTGGGCTTCACATCAAACTCAAAATGTCAAAATGGCATGCAAAAAGGCCCCTTTCATCTTTCAAGGAATGCCCAGATGCAATATCGCAGAAACCTCCCAATGATCCCCCCCTTCACTCTTCGTAGAAAAGAAGGGAGCCAATCAGGGATCACCAGGGCCCCTCTCTGAACAATTTGACCTTTCCAAGCACGATTTAAATGCAATTTGATGTTCATCCGCCCCTTTAGATGTCTCAATGTGTATTAGATTGTCTCAATGTTCCGTGTGATATGACGCATCCCGGTTCTTCTGCAACGTCAGCCTGGAATCAACCCATGGGTTAGTGTGTGTGTGTGTAATATATATATATATATATATGAACCCATTAACTGATTAAATCATACATATACTGTCATATACTTATAATTACTCATATGTATATCTTGATGGTCCGTGATTGTATAAGAATCCCCACGCAAGCATCAACCACCTGAGCTGTCACCTGAGCCGTCGTCAAGCCCAGGCGGTCGTCCTTGTTGTTACCGGTGGTCCTGCCAGCGCAAGCGCGCAGACATCACCATAGCTGTGACGCTGGGAATGTGTCTCTTTCTCATCCAAGTGGTCAACTGGTCATTCATATAAATCCAAATTGAACCATGGTTTCTCATAAAATATATCATCACATTGTTGGAATTAAATCAAAACCCTACAAATCCAAACTGAATGATAAAACCATATATGATAGGTGACTCTACTCATCCAACTCATGAGAAGAGGAATTAGTCATCCTATTTTCCATCCAATTCTACTGGTACAACCCGTAATCTTCGCCATTGAACTGGTGAGTTCTGCCATCTCAGTGATTTCCGAAATCAACACCCAAGATCAAGGGGATGTTTCTCCCATGGCACCGCTTCACCCAATCACCCCACTCTATTCATTATATATATATATATATATATCCGCCGACCCCAGCCATCTGCAGGGGGAGCGCGCCCGAGAAAAAGTGGCTTCGCGGCACCTTTTCTTCTGGTTTCAGAAAGCGACGTTAGGTAGTAGGCTGCCGTTAAACGCTTCCCGGCGCCCTCGGCCGCCCTTAAACCTTGCCCTTATACCCTGCCCTTTAACCCTTCCCGGCGTCTTTGGCGGCCCAGCAGCATGTCCTTTGGCCACCTGCCGGGCGCTTTTCTGGAGATTTTCTTCTGGTTTCAGAAAGCAACGTTAGGCAGTAGGCTGCCCTTAAACCCTCCCCGGCGCCCTGAGCTGCCTTTAAACCCTTCATGGCGCCCTTGGCAGCCAAGCAGCATGTCCTTTCGCCACCTGCCGGGCGCTTTCCTGGAGATTTTCTTCTGGTTTCAGAAAGCAACGTTAGGCAGTAGGCTGCCCTTAAACCCTCCCCGGCGCCCAGAGCTGCCTTTAAACCCTTCATGGCGCCCTTCGCGGCCTAGCAGCATGTCCTTTGGCCACCTGCCGGGCGCTTTCCTGGAGATTTTCTTCTGGTTTCAGAAAGCAACGTTAGGCAGTAGGCTGCCCTTAAACCCTCCCCGGCGCCCTGAGCTGCCTTTAAACCCTTCATGGCGCCCTTGGCGGCCTAGCAGCATGTCCTTTGGCCACCTGCCGGGCGCTTTTTCTTCTCGTTTCAGAAAGCAACGTTAGGCAGTAGGCTGCCCTTAAACCCTCCCCGGCGCCCTGAGCTGCCTTTAAACCCTTCATGGCGCCCTTGGCAGCCAAGCAGCATGTCCTTTCGCCACCTGCCGGGCGCTTTCCTGGAGATTTTCTTCTCGTTTCAGAAAGCAACGTTAGGCAGTAGGCTGCCCTTAAACCCTCCCCGGCGCCCAGAGCTGCCTTTAAACCCTTCATGGCGCCCTTCGCGGCCTAGCAGCATGTCCTTTGGCCACCTGCCGGGCGCTTTCCTGGAGATTTTCTTCTGGTTTCAGAAAGCAACGTTAGGCAGTAGGCTGCCCTTACACCCTCCCCGGCGCCCTGAGCTGCCTTTAAACCCTTCATGGCGCCCTTGGCGGCCTAGCAGCATGTCCTTTGGCCACCTGCCGGGCGCTTTCCTGGAGATTTTCTTCTGGTTTCAGAAAGCAACGTTAGGCAGTAGGCTGCCCTTAAACCCTCCCCGGCGCCCTGAGCTGCCTTTAAACCCTTCATGGCGCCCTTGGCGGCCTAGCAGCATGTCCTTTGGCCACCTGCCGGGCGCTTTCCTGGAGATTTTCTTCTGGTTTCAGAAAGCAACGTTAGGCAGTAGGCTGCCCTTAAACCCTCCCCGGCGCCCTGAGCTGCCTTTAAACCCTTCATGGCGCCCTTGGCAGCCTAGCAGCATGTCCTTTGGCCACCTGCCGGGCGCTTTCCTGGAGATTTTCTTCTGGTTTCAGAAAGCAACGTTAGGCAGTAGGCTGCCCTTAAACCCTCCCCGGCGCCCTGAGCTGCCTTTAAACCCTTCATGGCGCCCTTGGCAGCCAAGCAGCATGTCCTTTGGCCACCTGCCGGGCGCTTTCCTGGAAATTTTCTTCTGGTTTCAGAAAGCAACGTTGGGCGTAGGCTGCCCTTAAACCCTCCCCGGCGCCCTGAGCTGCCTTTAAACCCTTCATGGCGCCCTTGCGGCCTAGCAGCATGTCCTTTGGCCACCTGCCGGGCGCTTTCCTGGAGATTTTCTTCTGTTTCAGAAAGCAACGTTAGGCAGTAGGCTGCCCTTAAACCCTCCCCGGCGCCCTGAGCTGCCTTTAAACCCTTCATGGCGCCCTTGGCGGCCTAGCAGCATGTCCTTTGGCCACCTGCCGGGCGCTTTCCTGGAAATTTTCTTCTGGTTTCAGAAAGCAACGTTAGGCAGTAGGCTGCCCTTAACCCCTCCCCGGCGCCCTGAGCTGCCTTTAAACCCTTCATGGCGCCCTTGGCGGCCTAGCAGCATGTCCTTTGGCCACCTGCCGGGCGCTTTCCTGGAGATTTTCTTCTCGTTTCAGAAAGCAACGTTAGGCAGTAGGCTGCCCTTAAACCCTCCCCGGCGCCCGGAGCTGCCTTTAAACCCTTCATGGCGCCCTTGGCGGCCTAGCAGCATGTCCTTTGGCCACCTGCCGGGCGCTTTCCTGGAGATTTTCTTCTGGTTTCAGAAAGCAACGTTAGGCAGTAGGCTGCCCTTAAACCCTCCCCGGCGCCCTGAGCTGCCTTAGACCCTTCATGGCGCCCTTGGCAGCCAAGCAGCATGTCCTTTGGCCACCTGCCGGGCGCTTTCCTGGAGATTTTCTTCTGGTTTCAGAAAGCAAAGTTAGCAGTAGGCTGCCCTTAAACCCTCCCCGGCGCCCTGAGCTGCCTTTAAACCCTCATGGCGCCTTAGCGGCCTAGCAGCATGTCCTTTGGCCACCTGCCGGGCGCTTTCCTGGAGATTTTCTTCTGGTTTCAGAAAGCAACGTTAGGCAGTAGGCGCCCTTAAACCCTCCCCGGCGCCCTGAGCTGCCTTAAACCCTTCATGGCGCCCTTGGCGGCCCCGCAGCATGTCCTTTGGCCACCTGCCGGGCGCTTTCCTGGAGATTTTCTTCTGGTTTCAGAAAGCAACGTTAGGCAGTAGGCTGGCCTTAAACCCTTCCCGGCGCCCTAAGCTGCCCTTAAACCCTTCCCGGTGCCCTTGGCGGCCCAGCAGCATGTCCTATGGCCACCTGCCGGGCGCTTTCCTGGAGATTTTCTTCTGGTTTCAGAAAGCAACGTTAGGCAGTAGGCTGCCCTTAAACCCTCCCCGGCGCCCTGAGCTGCCTTTAGACCCTTCATGGCGCCCTTGGCAGCCAAGCAGCATGTCCTTTGGCCACCTGCCGGGCGCTTTCCTGGAGATTTTCTTCTGGTTTCAGAAAGCAACGTTAGGCAGTAGGCTGCCCTTAAACCCTCCCCGGCGCCCTGAGCTGCCTTTAAACCCTTCATGGCGCCCTTGGCGGCCTAGCAGCATGTCCTTTGGCCACCTGCCGGGCGCTTTCCTGGAGATTTTCTTCTCGTTTCAGAAAGCAACGTTAGGCAGTAGGCTGCCCTTAAACCCTCCCCGGCGCCCTGAGCTGCCTTTAAACCCTTCATGGCGCCCTTGGCGGCCTAGCAGCATGTCCTTTGGCCACCTGCCGGGCGCTTTCCTGGAGATTTTCTTCTCGTTTCAGAAAGCAACGTTAGGCAGTAGGCTGCCCTTAAACCATCCCCGGCGCCCTGAGCTGCCTTTAAACCCTTCATGGCGCCCTTGGCGGCCTAGCAGCATGTCCTTTGGCCACCTGCCGGGCGCTTTCCTGGAGATTTTCTTCTGGTTTCAGAAAGCAACGTTAGGCAGTAGGCTGCCCTTAAACCCTCCCCACCGCCCTGAGCTGCCTTTAAACCCTTCATGGCGTCTTGGCGGCCTAGCAGCATGTCTTTTGGCCTTCTCCGTCCTTCACTGCCATGGTGTTTCCCCGTCCGGGGGCTGTGGTTTTGCGCGGTCTTTCCTCGCCCAAGAACCGCGTTTTGGAGCGGGACAAGTAGCTCAGAAATCTCCTCATTTTCTAAGGGTTTCAGAAGTTACGTTAGGCACTTTTTCGCCGCCTTTTTTGCGCCTTCTCCATCCTTCACTGCCATGGTGTTTCCCCGTCCGGGGGCTGTGGTTTTGCGCGGTCTTTCCTCGCCCAAGAACCGCGTTTTGGAGCGGGACAAGTAGCTCCGAAATCTCCTCATTTTCTATGGGTTTCAGAAGTTACGTTAGGCACTTTTTCGCCGCCTTTTTTGCGCCTTCTCCGTCCTTCACTGCCAAACTAATTGTTTCAACCGAAGATCTTGTCAAGGTTTTCAAACATTAATGTGGGTAGTTTCTTTAGAGTTTCATGTAGGATTTCATTCATGAAGGGTCAAAAAAACACGGAAAACAAGGTGGAGGATCCAAAAAAACAAGGTCCCCGTATACTTTGATAAACTATCATGCACCTGTGCGGCGCAACCATGCACCTGTGCGGCGCAACACTAGCTGCATAATAATAGGGCCAAAACTATCGTATAGATATATATATATTATCTAACTATTGTACAGTTACTTAGATCCGTGAACCCATAAAACCATAGGATCGTAATATCAACATGCACCCAAATGAAAAACCCATTTACAAATGAAAATTCAAACCTATCAAATATAGTTCACAACAATATACATAGGAAAAAGGTCGAAAGCCTCAGAATTTAGTTTGCTTCCTTGCCGATTCTTCCGGGGTCGGCGGCAGGGGCGGCAGCCCTTAATATATTATCATATATATATATAATATGTAATTATCATGTGTATATATATATATACACGTAATAACTGTCATATATAGTTATATAATATGTATATATTTATATTATAATAAGGAATAATAATTAACAAGTATTGTCAATGTTATGTAAATGAATAAAGTTCTACACATACATATGTACATATATATATACTATATGTGTGTATATAATACTAAGTGTATGTATATATATATACACACACATCGTATTACATACACACATACATATATATATACGTATATATTATATATATACACATATTAGACATCCACACTTTACATCTCCCGAAAAATCTCGCAAACCTTCCGCGGCGCTTCAACAGTTAACGGCAGCCCAGTCGGGTCTTGTAGATGGGAAAGTTCTCGAACGCGCCGCCGGCGCCTTTGGCGATTTCCTGCTGCACTTCCTCCGGAAGCTGCTTCTGGAAGTCCGTGCACTGGTCCAAGTAGACCAGCACCAGGGAGACCTGGTGATTTGGAGGTTTCCCATGGGGATACTCCCAAATCATCCATTGATAGATGGGATTTTCCATGGACCATCGAGCGAGAAAGGGGTACCTCCATGACTTAGGAAACCTCCATTTGTGTGTCAAAAATTCAGGCCTGAAAGACGATGGTCTTATACTCAAACTGATCCATCATTTGAGCAGTGTTCAAAACCGTTCGATTATACTCATCATACTCGTTGGTTCAGGACGGAATGCCGAGTTCATAGATTATAACTCCCGATATATTGGGAATTCCAACAGTGGTAAATCGCAGCCACCAGTTCTTTCTCCAGAAAGGCCCTCTCCGGTTTACGTTGTCTAAACCGGATGCAATGGGGGTACTCATTTCAGACAAACCAAAGTATCTGGCTGCGGCTACAAGAAGCGAACCATCTTACACTTGCTACAAACCACCTCCGCACCTCATATCCTCCGACAATGCCCCAATAGTTGTTGGGCAAGACTTCCAAAGTCTCTTTGAGGACGCACGGTTTTCCCTGTGACTTCAGGTTCCACAGTTTTCGGCAAATGGGCAGCAGCTCAGTTTTTTTGAAGACCTGCCAAAATTCCAGCGGCGACATCTCATTGTTTAAAAAAACACCATCAGAGGGAAATTGAGGAATATACTTGTTGTGCCAATTTATAGCCTCAACATGCCTCAACTGCCTTTTGGCTCAAAAGTTGCCTTTGAAATTCTTTGAAGAAATAAATTACCCATCAAGTAGCCAATTCTACCAAACTCTCTGGGGGCTGTGCAACAATGCTGAACCCTTCCACATGGAATTGTATCCCGGCTTCAATTCCAAGTCTGAAAAGACCCATCAAGTCCGCAAATTCAACTCTCCAACCAAACCAAAAAAGATGCAAAATCCAACACCATGAAGAAAAAATACAACACACCCGCCACTAGAATTAAAACTGGAAAAAAAAAACACAGACTCCACGCCATAGTGAAAACCGACTGTTCACCTGGTTGCTGGAGTTCAACAAGAAAACATCATCCAAGATGGGATCAACGTCACGCTTTCAACTTCACAACCTCTTCTGGCTCAATCCGGGCCTGGTTGTTGGAGTAGAAGTAGCCTTCATCCTTGTTGCACAGGCCATATCCAAAGGCCGCGGCCACCTGGTCCACCACCTGAGCTTCATAGGGGTCAAAGTTCCCGAAGGTCGCCTGGCAGGTGAAGCACCAAGAGAAACAGCGATGATTTCTTTGAAAAGGGACCTGCCCTTTTCAAATCAGAATTGAACCAAGGAATTTGGGAGTTAAGGTTTTATCTATCACTCTTTCAAGAGTTCGACTAGATTATAAACTCTTTGGTTCTAACTACCAGTTCCAAATGAAGCTATAGGCCGGCCATCTACCCGTGGTGAAAGAATCGGATGATCCTCCCTCTGTTCGTGCCGAGTTGAAGTCTACCCTTGGCATGACGAGAACAACACACGACAGATTTAAAAAATCAAAAAATGTTCAAAGGTGGCCCCAAAACAGTAGAAAAACATGCAAGATGGTAGTTGAAGGGGCCAAATATCTGCCCATAATCAGAAGCCCTTTGTCATACCCCATAAATCACTTTCCAGCATGGTATCTATTCTTGGGTGGACAGGCTTTGAAAACTCTGTAGGTCAGCGAGTTCCTCAGTTTGATGGTCAGAACACAATTGATTTCATCGTCCTGAATCCGGAGGATGACAAGCATCTCCACACCACTAGCTAATAAAGTGATTTTTCTTTCCAAATGGATGTCGCAATGTGTCGCAATCTGAATTCGCAACATTTGCGCAGAAATCTGATGTTCCTGCGAGAATGCACTATGCCTACACGCACTGACAGAAAGATGGTCACACAAGCTGATATTCAATGCATTTCACCTGCCAGAAATGCATAGTCAAAGGCAAACATGTGGTAAGAAAAAGAATACAAAACATGTGAGTTGGCCCAAAAATTGGGTAGGTGCTGCAGTATCCAGAAATCCCATGCTGTATCATAATTTTCCAACTTTCGAATGCCACTGACTTTGTGATATAACAGCCATATTGGGCCTTCTCATAGTCGTACTCCGTCATGGGCATGTAGGAGGTTGCAATCCAGATCACCTCATCTCTCGAAAAGCTGTGCAATATTGAAATTTGTCGAAAAGGATTGAATTCCAAGCAAGATTACTGTAAGGATGTGTGAGCACTTGGTTCTCTTTGGGACCCTGAATGGCCAGTGTAAATACAATGCTGGAAATGGTCTGTATGTGATCATTCCCGGCCCATAGGGTAGGCGAAACATATCAAGGTTTCTTGCCCAGGCCAATGAATTTCTCCCATTACGTTCTTGACTTTTGACTACAAAAATGCTATCAGTTTGTAGTTTGTAGGATGTGATCATCCAATTTTTGGGCTACATCATGTTTGAGCCATTCGCAACGTCTTACCCGACACTGTGCGGCTTCACTTCCGGCCTTCCTGGCCCTGCGCTGAAGCAAAGGCAGCAGGCCACTGTTGTCAATGGCACCGCCGTCACCCAGTGCGTATTCATGCGCCTCCTGCACGACATTTGGACACAAAAAGGTGTCCTTCCCTCTCAGACAAAAATCCACTTGCGATTTTGTTCACTCTGAGGTTCGTCAGGTGGCTATTAAAAATAAATTGCTTTGAAATAGACCAGTATCGCTATGAGCTCTATTTACAGGAGTGGCCATCTCAGAGGTCGGACAAAGGTACGAAAGTTTGTGCAGCGGAAAGTCCTTTAGGATCTGGACCACATTGCATCGCCCAAGGGATGCGCAGACTAATTTTGAAGTCTCCCAGGTACTTGTCAATGACCAAAACGGAAAGAAAAAATGAAGAGAAATCTGCTGGGTGGCTGAAACCTCTTGACACTCACTGGTAGTCAACTGGGATTCTCACCCCAGGGCCCCACAAGTCAGGTCTAGCTCTTCAGCTAAAGTCACCGTTAAGTCACCGTGGTCAACAGCCAACCCTCCCGATCCAGTGCAGATCCGCACTCCTGAGGCGTTGGGACAGTGCGGCTGGTGATGGGCCAGTACAGCTTCCGGATGTTCAACCAAGTATTGGTGATACGCCTCGCACGGTGACTCCCATGCCGCAGCAAAACAAAGGCCAGGTGGCATGGAAATAAAATCATCACCAGCATGTGTTTTCAAACGTGTTCCCATGCTTCTCAGAATCATGAATCTCAAGGTAACCAGTTCTGTCCAATGGTTGATCATCATTTTCACCATCAAAAGTGCCTAATTTGGGTCTCATATGCATCGGTGGGAATTTGGTGAAACCAAAAATCCTGCTAAAACACCAGTTTCACTGGTCTCCATTTTGACCTCCTGCCTATTTGAGAAGGCAGAGGCAGGGGCACAACTGCTGATGCCCACCATCCTGGGAACCGATGCAAAATGGAGAACGCAGTTCTCGACTACATGCGGACACATATGTCCATAGGAAGATATGAGGCCTCATATATCTGTATATATATATGTATCTATATAGTTCATATGTATCTATATAGTTCATATGTAGATAAATATAGAGATGGAGTTATTTTTAAAATACTGCAATGGAACAACATCAACTAGATCCAATTGCCTGCGGGGGATGCCCTCAGTGCCCAATTGAGAGATTCCCGGCTTGTCAGCCGAGTCAGTTTCCTAAGTCATGGGGGTACCCCCAAATCCCACTAAATCACCATTGAATCATGGTTTTACCCCTGGTTTGTTATCTTTCCAAGATCTTTCCAAAATATTTTTATATGGTAGTTTCCTGAAATAGGGGTACCCCTAGTTATCATCCATTTAGAGATGGGGATTTTCCCTTAGAAATAAACCATCCAGCGATAAAGGGGTACCCCCATGGCTTGGAAACCTCCGAATAAGTCTCATTTGTGGCCTCAACCAATCCCAAAAATATGCGTCATGTCATTGGGGATCTCCCAAATACGCTTGAAGGCAAAAACCAAATGCCTGAAACCACCAACCAGAAGATGTTTACTTTTTCACATCATTAATTTGCCTCAATCTCCAAGTAGAAACTTCAGAAAGCACAAATTCCCCACTTTTTTAGGTGCATAACAATTAGTAAGCGATGATCATAGTCCATAACCAGTTTGCAATTGCCTGACATTCCCCTCATGCAGCTGGAGTATTTCAAGTGGTTATCAACCACCAAATCGATGACTGGCATATCCAAGGGTCTCGGGCAACGAGAAGCGTGATGCTGGTGCGGGTACAGAGACCTGGCACAATTGAAGGCGAATTCTGGAGTGATCCCTTTGAAAGGCCCCAGAATATGGATAAAATGAACAAATTAAAAAGTCAGGCTGTGAAGAGAAGGGATATTGGGACATTTTCTAAGTCAGTGGCCCCTTTATATTTGGTACCAGACCTCATTTTGGCCCCATACAAAGATAAGGTCTGGTCCAAAATGTACAAAATATGAAGAGAAAGTGACGCTATGAGCTACTTTTGAGAAGCCACTGTTTTGTATGCAGATCGGGTCAGGGCGTCTATCTCTCGAGACAAATACCCCCAAAAACCCTGGTGGAAAGCGGCCGATCTCTTTACTTGGGGGTTCTGTTCGGAAAGCGTCTATTCAGATCGTGCCATGAGATTATTTACAACTATTTTGGGCATACCTTTTAATATCTTTTAATCATCCAGGGTTGGCATTCAAAGAGAACTTACCAGTTCATGTACAAAAAATCACACACAACCGAACTGTCCAAAAATTAAGGCCCGAATTGGGTGATATCGGTTCCCAGCTCACAGACTAGCTCGCACGTGCCATAAAACAATGGAGTATCACTCAAAATATAACGGTCATTTCAGGTTGTTTAATCAGTATAACAACATCATTTACCCTCTGGCAATTTAACGCAACTATTAGAAATGGCCATAGAAATAGTTGATTTATCCGTTAATAGCATGGCCATGCAGGTTGTTTAATGTAACAGGTTGTTTAATCACTGAAACTCCCCAACATCTGTCCATGTCACCACACCACACCATCCACACCCGACAAGAAATCGAACCTGAGATCCGCCCCGCTGTGCCGCGGGCGTGGGCGCCTCGCCACCTAAGGACAGTTGTGTGGAATTGCCAAGACAGTTATGAAAATACATAAGGTATCTTACAAATCACGGATCATACTATGATAATTCTATGATTTGACCGTTTTCATGAATGATATACTTATAATTACTTGGTATTGGATGCTTTGATTTGGTATGGGTTTAACGGATAAAAATAATGACCATGTCATAGCAAAATGGGGAAACCATACCATACCAAGTATATAATAAGTATATCATTTCTGGCTCCATTAAGTGGTAAAATGATGGACTTAAAGATCCGGGATTTTTGAACCATCATTTACGGGGGATACGATTACTGTCATAAAAAAGAAACATGATTGACCGTTTTTAGTATTACTGTATGTAAACCATCCAAAAAAGAAAAGCATCCATTTTAGTAGTATATAGTACCCTCTGGTGAACTAACATAGCAATGGAAAATGGCCATTTATAGTGGATTTTCCCATGAAAAATGGTGATTTTCCACTGCTATGTTAGTTCACCAGATGGTAAACCAAAATTAGTGTTCAAGGCAAAGCCCCATCCTAATTTTCAACGCTGCGCTCTGAAGGCAGTTTGTTCAAAGCGATGACATCTATGGATGTCAAAGCAACGGAAGGGTTCCAGTGGACAGCTGCACCCCACAGGCAAAGCCCCAACATCTAAGAACCACCGCTTTGCTGCAAGGGGCAAGATGCACACTAGAGACCCAGTGAAACCTAGCAAAGCAGCAAGTCCTCTTGGGTGCAACCCCCCAGGCCCAAGCCCACCAAGCAACAAGCACCCAGACACCGGTGTCCCTCCCCAGGGTGGAGGTGGGGAAAGAGGAGGTTGAAGCTGAGGAAATGCTGCGGATAGGGCGAACATGCCATTCACACTATCATTACGGGGGACCATTAGCTAGTGTTCAAGGCAAAGCCCCATCCTAATTTTCAACGCTGCGCTCTGAAGGCAGTTTGTTCAAAGCGATGACATCTATGGATGTCAAAGCAACGGAAGGGTTCCAGTGGACAGCTGCACCCCACAGGCAAAGCCCCAACATCTAAGAACCACCGCTTTGCTGCAAGGGGCAAGATGCACACTAGAGACCCAGTGAAACCTAGCAAAGCAGCAAGTCCTCTTGGGTGCAACCCCCTAGGCCCAAGCCCACCAAGCAACAAGCACCCAGACACCGGTGTCCACCTCTCCCCAAACTAGCAGGACACTGCTGCTGTAAAGGTAGCATACTCAAGCATTGACTCGAAGGAGAGATGAGAGGACCTGAAAGAAGAAAGTTTACGAGTCACAGCGGGGGGAAACAGGGGGGGAACAAAAGACTTATGAGTCAAACTGGAAACCAGGGCGTGCTCGCTTGGCAAGACGCAAAAGATTACGTTGAACTACTGGCTCCAGTTGAATCTCAGTTAACTGCGCAAGTGCATCTGTGAGATATATTCTGGCAGTTTTAATGCTGTTCCATCTGCCCACAAAGCAAACTCGTGAGAGGTCATTGGTGGCCCGAAAGAAATGGGTCGCACCGCCTCGACGGAGCGAGTACCATTGGTACCCCTCAGGAAACTTCAAGTCACTCAGAAGACTTTTAAGACGGGAGCGCATAATTCCGGGGGAAACACTCCGCAAATAATCCCCTGGAGAGAGGGCTGACATGTAGTTAGCCAGTGCCACCACCAGCCAGCTATCGTCAATGACTAAAGATTCCTGAGCTCCGACTCTTTGTCCGCTTTTGGTCAAAGGAAGGGACCAAATGGCCTTGGTCTTGGTGGTATTCCAAGTAAAGTCTCCTCTCTTAGCCATAAAGAGCTCCCCAGACCGCGCAAATCTGTCAAAACCCAAAAGGACGAGGACAGCAAGATCAGACCAGCCTTTGTCAAATGCAGCTTGAGCAAGGGCATAAACCATCACAGGCAGAAACGGTAGAGCACGAGCAGGCAACTCCGCCCTAGTCCAACTCCCATGCAGTCGCCAGGCCCCCACCAAACTTCGCTTGCATTGCGGAACAAAATGCCCCAGGCCAGACAAACAATCGCTAGCATACGACTTAGGGTCCCCATTATGCCACAAAGCTTCAATGAATTCACAAACTTTTGCATCTAGACTTGAAAAGGAAGAAGGATAAGTGAAACCATGACTTCGCAAGAACAGCAAGAAACGTGAAACAGCCTCCAAATATCGATCCCGAGTGTTTTTAGCCACAACCAAGTCTTTTAGACTCCCCAGTGCCTGCCTGTCCTTTTTTCTTTCGACTCGGCCCCGTCGGCCTAAGACCTGTTGTCTAGGCATTGCGACGACGCTTGGCCCATCTACTGGGCCCATCAGCTGGGTTCCACTTGCTCTTGATCCATCCGAGGCAGAGTCGAAAGTGTGCGGCTAGGCATACGGCACTGATGCGGCGTAGGGGACCTTGGAGGGCTCGAGCGGAGCTGCGTCCCTTCGAGAGGCAGCTCATTGCAACTTGGTTGTCCACAAGTGTGATCAAGCGTTGGTCATGATGCTTTGGATCGCGTCCTTGCCGGCGGAGAAGATCAAGGACCGCCACCAACTCCAAGATGTTGATGTGTTGTCCTGGCTCTCTCCATGAGTAGGACATCAAGACTTTCCAAATCCAGTGACTGGGATCAATGCTCTGCCGGCACAGTTCACCAACGGAGTAAGGCATCCCCAAGTCAATCCGGATCTCAGCACCACGGTGTGTCCCATTGCGAGCTAACAAGTAGCTCAGCATCTCTTCGTCTGTCAGCCACTGTTGAGGGTCAATGAATGACCGCAGGGGCGCGACTGGTGATGGCAAGACCCGCTCGAGCAGGCTCACCACCCCAGGAACCCCCGCAGCCACACTTGCAAACCTCACTTTCCAAGGTTTTCCTTCTTGACCAGCTTTGTCTTCCTTGGCTTTCCAGACTTCCCAGAGCATCAGGCTGACATCCTTTCCAACACATTGCTCCGGCTTCAACACCAGGCCCACCAAGAGCCGAGCCACCACCATCGCTGAAAAGGAATTCCCAACCATTTGACCTCTCGGGTCTGCACTGAGCTTGGTTTTGGTATTGAGGTGTGTGGATTGGAAACCCATCATCCGGAGCTGCTCTTCGACTGCAGGCCTTCTGGGCCCATTCTTGTCGGTTACCAGGTTACGAGGCTCATATTGATAGGGCTGGAGCCTGTAACTGTCTCCGCGCCACCGCTTCAAGGCCTTCTCTGTGGCCTGGTCAAACCCGGCAGGATCTTCTGGAGGGCTCTGTCGAGCGATTGGCCGGGTGAACGTTGCAAACGGCTCTTCAGGTTCGGCCATCTTGGTGGTCCCTTCATTCAGGAACCATGTGAGCGGGGGACGTTCCGTGTCCACCTTGATTTGCTTCACCTGGTAGTTGTGACCTCTCAGAGTTCGCCGCGCGGCGACAGACAGATCATCTCCAGCCACAAGGTCCACCCCTGAAATCCAGTAGAGCCTGGGTCTTCGGCAACGCCCAATCTCAGCAGCCTCAACAAAGTAGGGCGTGTACCCAATCTTCTTGCTTTGGGCTTCGTAATCTGCATCATCCATGACCACATTTTCGAAAATCTCCACTACTTTCCATGGGGGAAGGTGCAACTTCTCTGAGCACGATCCCAACCATCCTCTGATTGCCAACATGTCGTCCAGCAGCTTGCTCGAAGCTCCTTCTGCTCCCTGTCGTCTAGGGTTCAGCACCGAGTGGTTGATGCATGGCCATCCTCCTCCAATGACCACCTTTGTGGCGCGCGGAAATCGCCTTCTCCATTCCAAGACCTGCTCCTCCGTCACGGACTCAATCTTCTGAACCCAGATGACGTGGCGGCAGTGCTGCTTGTATACCTTACAGCACTCAGCCGAGGTATCAATTGCCACCACCCCAGCGGGCTCAAACCCAATCAAATCCAGTGCTTGCTTCAGGCCTCCCATGCCCGCAAAGCATTCGATCACTAGGGCATTCTCAGTAGCGGCTCCCTCCAGTCCATCACGCTCATGACTGAGGCTGTGAAGTCTTGCACTTCCCCAGGGGCTCAGGCCAGTAGTGCAGCAGGCTCCTCCGCCTTCTGGACTCGTGTCTGTCGCATACACTTGGCCTGACACTTTCATCTTGACGTCAAGCCAGTGCATGGGCAGTGAGCAGCATAGCAGCAAGAGCTCGTCGCGACCTTTCTCACTCAAGAGTCGTGGCCTGCTGGCATTCATTTCCACGTACAGCCTGTCAAACAACACTGCCAGCTGCCGGTTGTATTGCACCGAGTGCATGTTCTTTGAAACCACAGACTGCAGATTGGGGGAATCAGTACGGACCTCATCCCCCACCAACAGCCCAAGGTTAGCACTCAGAAGTGCCCGGCGGAAGCTCCGCGAGCTGCCAATCCATCCTTCCTCTCCAGCCACTTCGGCTCCCAAACTGGTCCAGCTGATTGATCCCTCAGCTGCTTTCTTGGGGTCTCTCCCTACAGTCAATTCCTCCATGGTCTCTCGCAATTGGAGTTGTTCATCGGTCGGCTGGCCTTCGTACAGCCCCCGGTCGGTCCTCCAGATGATCTTCAGCTGGTCAAAGTTGTCCACATAGAACGAAAAGAATGATCTGGGAGTTGCCAAAGGTTCCAACGGGCTCGGCTCGCCCATTCGAATAACTTGATTAGGCGCCAAACCTGCCATCTTGGCCATGTTCTCAAAGCCGTCCTGGATAAAGTCCACCACATTGTTCCACCCCATGGGTGCACTCTTCACTCGAGGGTAACCTTTCTCCACCTTTCCATCTTTGAAGGCCTGTCCTGAAGCCATCCTACTCAAACTGAAGAAGGCTCGCCATGCATATCCTGGCCGGTAGATATGAAAGCAGTGTTTCTGGTCCTCAGCGGCACATATGATGATTTCGTCCTCATGCAAGTAGAGGTTCCCCCACAGCGGGGCATAACCCATCTTCTCCGAAGCTCTCACTGGCATGCGTCTCTGGAACGAGTTGCCGGGGATCATGTTGATGATCAATCTCAACGTGCGGAGCCATTCTCCATCCTCCTTCAGCACCCAACTCTTGTGGACGCCAAACGCCCCATTACGAACTGGCTCCCCTCGATACTTGAGGGTCTCTGCCTCAACTTCCCTCTCAAGCATGCCTGCATCTACCAGGTGGCTCACGATCTTGTCCCACTCCTCCTGGCTGGTGACTTGCACCAACGCTGAGGTGCGTGGCCCAATGAGCTCCTCGTCCGGGATACGCAGCAGCGAAGGGTCATCCACATATTCCTTGACCGAGTCGCTCACCACTTCTGACAATGGGATCCTCGCCGCTTCACTCGCACCTGGTGTTGTGGGGAGTATTGCCTCCAATGTCAGAGGATAGGATTTCCCTACGTTGGGTCCTGTGTACATGTCCCCCAATGTCTCAGACGACTTCTCCCAGGTGTCTGCCCTGATCGCATCCTCCTTATCTTCTTCAATCCATTTCTTGCTTAAGCTGTCAAGTCGCTTGATGGATCTTTCCTGGCTCGCAGTAGGTTCCTTCGCGTGAAGCATGCACTCAGACAGCATGCGACCACCTGCTCCGTGGCAGTATAGGTGGTTGATCACGAAGCACTGCAGCCAGGTCCATGCCTTCACACCGATTTCCTTTGCCTCACTGTTCAGCTTCCTCCAACTCTCACTGGTCACATCCAAGCGGCCACAGAGGACCTCCTTCACCGCTGCCTCATTCACCGCTGCCTCAAAAGCCAGTTCTTCGTCGGTCATGATGGGCATTGGCAATGGGAGTAGCTCCTTTGCCAGTCGGTGAAAGTTCTCCAGAGCGCAGCAAGGAAGGGCACGCGCTAAGTTGCCCAACTCTCCAGGGCGGTCTTGAATGCCGACTTTTAAGACCACCCCCACAAGACTCACCGACAAGCTGAGCCCCAGCCCTCGCCGCATCATCTGCCTCCATGAGACCGGCGTCACGTGCTCTTTTGGAATCAGCCCAAATTCCTGAATCAACCAGTCGGCAGCTCTCAGGTCCTTTGAGCCAACATATAAGTGTTGACCCACCAAAGATATCCTCACTTTTTCCTTATCCAACTGACTGACAAACTCCTGGTGGTAGATTGAGGCACCAAACTCTTTGTGTGAGGGGTGCCAACATAAACCCCGTCCTCTCTCTTCCACTCAATGTCAGCAGCTCGCACTTCAATGCCATTCACCAACTTTAGGAGCCGACCTTCCCCAGACCGAGGATCAACCCCGGCCTGAGATTGGTCGACCCCCAAGAGCCGGCAGGCCACTTCCGATGCGGATGGTATCAATTCCTCTCCTAGGAATTGACAGCTGAGCCGCAACTGCTTCTTTACCAGTGCAGGTGGGTCTCCAGCGACATTGGCAATCATCTCAAAGAAATCCTGCTCTATCATCTTCCAGTTTGGGCTCTTGCCCAACGCAAACCTCCTGAGTCGATAGAGCGCCACCACCTCCGGATCCTGCATGAGGCTTCTGACCTTCTCTCGTGTTTCTTCAGACACTTCACATTCATTTAGGGCCCTTTCCATCGCTGGGTATTCTAACCCCCGCCGGGCCGCGGGTGGGCTCACCACCGCTTGCCCTTCTTCCCTTTTCCTCTTCCTTTCTTTCCTTTCCCTTGGCTCTGACCTCCTCCGTTTTCGGGTGGTCCTCCGTCTTTTCCTTCCGCTTCCTTCTTGTCCATGTTCCCCCCCCTCCGGGGGAGGGATACCAGGCGGCCCTCCTTTTCGGCCATTGGTCCCTCTGCAGCCTCAGGTCGCTCTTGTGCTCTTGCTGGGCTGCCTTCAACTCCTGTCGGAACCAGGCTCGTTGCTCCTCCTCCGGCACAATGAGCTCCAGCAAGTTTGCTTGACTCCATTGGCCCTAAGCTATGAACAGCTCGATGCTCTTCATTCTCTGTACGGCCACGTCGAGTGCACGGAGAGAGTCGTTCATGGCCATGAGATCCACCAGCGTCGCCAACGTACGCAGCTCTCTCAGATTCCGCAGGCCAATCGCTGCTTCTGGATGGCGCACCATGTAGATCTGGCTGAGGTATGCGCGCGCTACCGGCGGCATCTCCTGCTCTGTCTCGGCCGTTCCCCCGCCTATTGAGCGGTTCAGGAGCTCCTGAAAGCGCCGGAGCGTTAGGTCCGCCAGAGCCCCTGGCTTCTCCTGATGCAACCGGTGCAATCGGTCTACTCCCTGTGGCAGGGCGGCCAACTGAAAAAGCGACCCTGAACTCGATGAGGAGGTCTCGTCGTCCCCTGAGTCACTTTCCTCGGAGGACCCCTTGCTAGCTTCCTCCTTTTTGGACTTCCGCTTTTTCTCTGAATCTCTTTTCCGCTTCTTTTTCTTCTTCTTCTTCAGGTCGTCTCCTTTCAGCTTGAGCGCACCCCCGGTAGGTAGCGGTGCCTTCCGCTTATTCAGAACGGCTCGAAGGCCTTCCTCTCGGGCATCCACTGGTGCCTTCTTCTCCTTCCTTTTCTTCTTTTCCTCCTTATCATCGTCGATCTGCCTCTCTCTCTTGTCGCCACGATCTCCTGCAGTTCCAAGTGCTCGAGCCAGCCCTGCAATGCCAGCTTCACCCACCTCCACTTCACCATCAGCTCGGCTCCCACGGCCACCATCCCCACCCCCCACAGCTGGAGAGGCGAGGGCTGGGACCGCAGGCGCCTGCGTGGCGTGGAGTGCCAACAAGCTTTTGGCCTTCTCATTCTTTTCATCGGTCATCCACGGCAGCCTCACGTATGTATCATCCGGCAAGACTCTGAAGACGTCAACGTGGATGGGGTCCCGGTACAGCGTTTGCTCCCCACACCGATGGGCCGCCACCTGACAGAAGTGGAATGGCAGCACCTTCGTGGGGTAATGATTTTGTACCCACCACTCGTAATATCCGTCTTCAATGGCCAGAAAGAATCCTCGCCAGGTTTGACCTTTGCCAGCCTCATCCTCTATGGCGCGGTGCTGCAATTTCACAACACCTCGGCCCTGCTGTCGCCCCGCATCGTCATAGAGGCTCACCTCTACAACAGCGCTGGGTGTCAACCCAAGCCAGTGTTCCTCACCAGCTTTTCGTCCTGTCTTCCGCCAGGGCTCGGGTTCAGCCATCCCGACACCTGGGCCCTTTCACCCGGTACGGACCGGGGTCCAGGTTCCAGATGCCAGGTGACCTTACCTCCACACCTGGCACGTCTTCCTAATTGAAGCTGAGGAAATGCTGCGGATAGGGCGAACATGCCATTCACACTATCATTACGGGGGACCATTAGCTAGTGTATACATCCATGCATTATTGGTTAAACGGATCAAGCCTTCTTGTTTGATCTGTTAATCCCAATTTTTGGGTGTGGACCAATGACTTGCGATTCCTGGAATGCACATCCTAGAATGAAATGCCCCAATCATTCTTTCAATCACCAATCCTGTATTGAGCCACATGATCCAGTCATCCCCATACCAATAACTTACGCTTTGGTTGAAGATAAATCACATCTTGGAGAATCCCAGGTACCCTCTGGTAAACATACAAAAAACTATGGGAAATCACCATGTTTAAGGGGTAAATCCACTACAAATGGCAATTTTCAATAGCAAACTGTTAGTTTACCAGAGGGCAAACCACATATATAACAAGTGCTGATGCGGTCGAATCTCCATTTCGGACAGAAAAGGCGACTTCCTCATCAACAACCATGCGACTACCCCCCAGTATGATTAGCATACCCCCATTATATTGGGGTTATATATCCTGCTAAATGCCTCCATATTTGCTGCGTGCCTCAATTTTGATTGGTATTTAAATCCTCATTTACAGATGGGTTTCCCAATCATATTTCCATCAGATATAAACCATTCTATCCCTTCCAATCATCTGTATGGGTTTACCCACGATATCCCATAAGATCTTCCATAACTTGAGAGCAGGCGGAGGCGGACGAAAGGTAGTGTAGTGGGAGAGGAGTGGTGTCAAAATGCTGCGCCCCTAAGATGATACACCAAAAACGTTTTTTCGCAGTCTAAGATGATTTTATCCAGAGCATGACTGCATGATACGGTGTCTTGTGCAGTGTGAAATGATGCACGAAAAGGGGTTTATTAAAAACCCCTTTTTAAGACCCCTTGCAGCAACTGTTATTGAGGCTGAAGCAAACCAATTATGCTGGACTACAGGGACATCTCCCTTATGGAGAGTGTGCCTCTAATGTGGGGGCCCGTGACCGCGTCACCCGTGGGAATTGAACCCATGACCATTTTAGGGGGGGGGGGCCCCCCTTATAATTGATATCCAATACATAACGGCGAGAATTCCACGTTTGACCCGGGCTGGCCCCCCAATACCCCCTATGCTTGCGCTGAAGCACGGAGAACTCAGGTAGCTGACGCTACCTTTCGTGATTATCCATTTATACCATTATTATCCATTATTATCCACGATATCCCATAAGATATGTATTCCATTATTATCCATTTATACCCACCCTTTGTGGCTGGTTTTTCCTTCATCTCCCATCCCCACATAGCCTCACACCCAGCAGACCCAGACACCAAAGGCGAAGGATTCGATGAAGCCACCCCCGACGCTCAGCGTCATAGCGCTTCTCCAACAGGGGTAGATGCAACACAACGGCGCCGGGGGATACGTCACGTCCGGCGCGAACTGCAAAATCTTGTCCTCTGGAGAGGTGAATTTTGGGAAAAACTGGATCACCGAAAATACGAAAAACTGGGAATCATGATGTGAATATCTACGCAAGATTGGAATCGATTTGATTTGATTAGAGAAATAGATGCACATACATTTATATGTGTATGTGTATATATATATGTGTGTGTGCATGTGTGTATATAAAATCCTAATCTACGACATCACAGCTAGTTAGCTGGTTGATGTCGCTTTCTGAAAAACTATCAGAAATGAGGTTGTGTCAAACTCAGTGACGAAAGTTGCAAGCCGAAGCTGTGACTTGGCAGGAATGTAAACCCTAATTGGTAGTTTAAACGCATCAAACAAATGTTGGTCATGGAAGGACATCATCCCAAATATGCTTTGAAAATGTTCAAAATGAATCATATTTGAAGCCACCAAGGAGTAAAAAAAACAATCTATTAATGTGTATATATATATATAGTTGCTCCACTGCCTTTTTATCAGCCTTCCTTGCAGATTTTGCTCTCTTGCCTTGTGCACCACTTTGTGCAAGGCCATCCCCAGGTTCCTTTGACACTGCATCCATCCCATCCATCCCATCCATCCCACAATCCAGCGATAAAGGGGATCCCCCATGACTATGTAAAACCCCATATCATATAAACATGATCAACCCATATAAATCCCATATAAACCCATATAAATATTTATAAACCCCATATACACATATATAAACCCACATACATATATATATACACACACCACCAACAAAGTTTTTCTCCTGGGGATAAAAGGGGCTGCCAGTGTAGTCTGGCGACATCTGGAAGGAGACCTCACATCGCAGCAACCAGGCTGATCCACACGGCCGAAAAAAGTTTGTCCTTTGAGGGATCTGAATTCATCCAATTTGGGGGGCTTCGATTTTACTGAATATATATATATATATAGATACAGATGTATATATATATATACAGTATCCCATGTCCCACAAAAAAAAAAAAACAAATAATACGCTATGTTTCCAATCTAGATATCTGAGTAATCTTACTGCTGGGATGAAAGGTGGATTGGGTTATATATATATATATATATGTATCCCACATGAAAACCATATTTATATACATATATAATTATATATATATATCACCTGAATGGTGGTGAATCCCCCCAAAAGCTGATGTCTATATACGTCAAATCACATCTCTTGATCATATTGTGAAATCCCCTGGAGTTTTTCGGGCTCCAAAAATAAATAGATCCGATACCAAACCAGGACGTTCTGTTTGGGATCTTCAGTATTAAGAAAAGAGGATAGCCAGTTTGTAGAAGTTTATTAAGCCAACTGATGGGTTGATTGGGTGTAGCAAGAACTGTCAACACCACAGGAAGTGAATATCTTCACTTATGAGGTTCCCGCATTTTTTCCTCAGATCCCGAATCTGACTAGCTGCCAAGTTGTCCTCATTGATCGAATGGTTCTTTGGCGCCAACAATGCTCCATTCATCACGAAGAATTTGGGTCGATCCGTGCGAGGCGTCTTGAAGCTCCAATTCTGGGCACGTTGAGCCCAATGGGTCGACGACTTGGAAAATGGATGAAATTGACCTGTGGATAATGGAGATGGAGATCAACGAGATCAACTCATGGAATGCTGCAGGGACGAATTTCCGGGTGAAAATCACTAGCATCCCAAGACCTTCCCAGATTGTGCCTTGATCTGCGGATTTTCCTCCTTCAGGCAGCAAAAAGTCTCGAAATGGACGTTTCACGAAGAGCTTAACAGTTCACTTGGCAAAACGCAGCCAAGCACTCATCAACCCCTCATATGTTCCAATGTTCGAATTCCAAGGCATCATAGATTTCCGGCTTTAAAAAAAACTCAAGTCAACCCCTCATTTGATCCATTGAAAAGACACAAATAAGCAAGCTGGCTGTTGTTTGAAAATTCGGCTTTGTTTCTCCATTCCTACCGTCCAATTTGGAGCTGCACTTTTGGATCCTCGAAGATACCAGCGCTTGTGAGATGATCTGATCTTACTTTCATAGCTCCAACTGGCTCCGCATGGCTGGGAATATTTATATCACCAGAATTCCGAACCTCTCCATGTTTTTTAACTAAGATGAGTGGCTACCGTTCCGCCCTTCCGCCGCTCCTTGATGCGTTCGACATCCTCCTCGCTCTTCGCCACAGAGCAATCGAAACTCGCTAAGCCGAAGGGTTCCAAGAGCATATCCTTAAACTGATGGAATCACGAACAAGTCCCCATGCTGTCATCCTAGCCATAAAGTGGATAGATTCTGGAAGTTTCGACAAATCCTCATGAAAATGGGATTCTTTTTCAAAAAGTCCATATTCCATCTACTTCAGGATGAGTAAAAGTACTGGAAACCATGGGTGTTGTATTTGGTGCCCGATCTACTCACCATGCTATGGCTATCAAGTGAGTCCTGGCCGCCATGATCAAGGGGGTTCAACATCTCCCAAAAAATTAGTGAAAAGAATATTTGGCTCATCCCATTGAACTATGGTTTAGACTATAGAAACAAACCAATGTCAGAACATCAGTTTTTGGGATAGGATTTAACCACCCAAGTTCCATGGGTTATGGCATGTTGTGGTAGCTGCTGTACTTATCGTACAGATTCAACCCACCCCGTTATATCTTCCCCACTCAACACCATTGAATCCCCACATTCGGAAACAGCTTGGACCGAGCTCAGCGTTTATCTCCGTTCCCATCCCCGTTCTGCTCCCAGCATCCGCCACAACGCGCGCCCAAACCTCGTTGTCTCGCCTGGTGCCCGTGTGCTTCTTCAATAGCTCGCTGGAGTTGCCCCTCCTCGGAAGCTTGGCCAAATGTGAAATGAGGAATGGGGACGGATTTATGATGGATTTATGATGGATTTATGCCATTTATACGGGGATTTATCGGATGAATGGGGTAACCAACAAATAGTGGAGATATAATGGGAATATCATGGGGATATAATGTGGATTACATATCCATTCATACTACCTGCTACTCATTAAATTGTCGTACAAATGACACAATCCAAACATAAATCCCATGTCTTTGTTAGTTAAACCCCTGCGATTGATGGCAAAATCCTGTTGTAAAATCCCATGAAAAACTAGGGAAAGTTAACATGAAATCTCGGACTATATCCCCTTATCCCCATGGTTAATTAGATACCCATATCAATGGGAACCCATAAAAGTTCCAGCCGCGTCAGGCCCCATCAAAATCCCAGACTATACCTCCATTATATATCCATTCAGGCTAGGTCAAAAACACCCAACAGGACAAAACCATCAACCAACAATCCCAGCTACGTCAAGCCCCTGGCCAAGGGCGGGGCTTCCTGTCTCAACACTTCCATCGTCAGCTGCTGCGGGTTGCTGCGTGGCCCCAGCATCGTGCTAGTGTCGATGGCTTTGCCCTCGAAGTCTTTGCCGAACCTCGGCGGTCTGGGCAGTTCACCAGGAAATGGTGGTTTTAGCCACGAATACATACGTACGTACGTATGTATGTATGTATGTATGTATGTATGTATGTATGTATGTATTGTAATGAAGTGTAATGAAGTGTAATGTAATGATATGTAATGTAAATGTAATGTAATGTACTGTAATGTAATGTCATGTAATGTATGTATGTACGATGTACGTATGTACCTATGTACGTATGTACGTATGTACGTACGTATGTACGTACGTATGTACGTACGTACGTACGTATGTATGGATGGATGGATGGATGGATGCATCCATGCATGCATGCATGCATGCATGCATATATGTATGTATGTATGTACACATATACTAGTCATGTGGAAGTAATTAGATTGATAGAATATAGAAATTCCAAGACAAGTCACTAAAATAGGAATCTGTTTGATTTTTTTTCGCGGGAAACCGGAGATGGAACCCATCAATTTGTAGGAAGCTTGGTGTGCATTGATGCATTGTGGATTCTGGAGGCACAAAGAACCATCTAGGGATTTTTCACTGCAAACAAAAGGGAATTTAATATTCTATCTACTTCGGGATCATGATATATGATATACTGATATATATATATATATTATATATAATTATTATATATATATAATTATTATATATATAATTATTATATATATACTAGATAAAATATACTATATAAATATATAGAAACTTGTCAAGCACGATGGTTTTTCTCGGGCCATGGTCATCCCAGGTCATCCTACCATCAGCATGTGTTTTCGTGGGAATAATTAAATCCCTACGAAAATGGAGTTTAAAAAACCATCCCCCAATATGGGTAAAAACCATCAAAATCTGACCATAGCACACATAGAAGGATGGTGGATTGCAAGAAGATAAGATAACTATTGGAAAAAAAGACAAAGTGACAAAAAGATAACCAAGAAAAATCGAAGTTGCAGGTGGAGAACCAAGAAAAATTGAATTTATGAATGGATCACCAATGGATGTTTTGATGGAGACTCTACATGATGATTGATGCAGATAGAACCTGAATCGGAGTAATGTGGTGAACGCAAAACCATAAACAATGTCCCAATTTTACTTGTTATAGTTTTTCAGGTTCATGTGGGATCTGGACAATTGATATGGTTCGCCAAGTCTAAAATGGATAAACACCAAGAATACCAGGGCCCAGGGCCCCAGTGTCCTCAAACATGGCTCGGAAAGTCCCGACAGAAAAAATCAAAATTCGAAAGTCATGCGGTTTTTGAGAAATTGGGACAATCTCCTTACCCTCTGGTAATTTAACATAGCTATTGAAAATCACCATTTCCAATGGGTAAATCCACTATAAATGGCAATTTTCCATAGCTATGTTAGTTTACCAGAGGGTATCTGTGTTTCAAAGGAGTGATTTCCAAGGATTTCCATGGGATAAAATGATCTCAGCCGTCCATGGATTTTCCACGGAGCAACATGTAGATGGACGAGGCCCAAGTGCCACCCGACACCGAGCCTGTCACTGAGGGGCTGAGGGGTTGCTGATAGCCTCAACGGCCTGTTAGGAAAATCACCGTCAACTTATCATCAGTCAATCAACGATTTCGCCAAAAAGATATCACTGGGAAGCTTCGATATTTACACATTAATATAAGCAAATGCTTCCATTAGTATTTGAGCATGAGGATTGTTTGCTATAGAAAGATTTGTAATTGAAACGATTCTTCTGACTTTATAAAGAATTGGAAACTATGCAAAAGTGATAAACTAATAAAAACTATATTTATAAAGGTAGACATTAGAAAAACTCAGTGAATCTTAGCGTGCCATGCCGCCATCCCAGGCTCCCATCCCATCTAAACAGCTCCAAACCTCCATGGTCAAAATATGATGTTTGTGGAGTATAATGATGGTATTAATGATGTATATGTATTATATATGGTGTTGGTTTATGGATATTTACAGATGTTTATGGATGTTTATGGTCATCTAATCCAAGAAATCCAAGTCTGAAGTGGCGATATAAATTATATTTGTCTCCCCGCGAAAATGGATTGATGACCAGCCCCCAATTGATGGGAAAACAAACCCACTTTCGAACATGGCACCAAAAAAAAAAACATGCACATATAGAAGATATGGCACATAGAACTCCCTACTTTTTGAAAGGGCATTCCACATATCAACCAGAGTTGTTTGCGTAGCATAAATCATAGTAACTTTGGAATTGGAGATCCCCCCATTAAGGAACACATATAAATCATATAAACAATAGTTATTTAAGTGTATCATAGTAACCATACGTAAACATTGTGTTGTCACAACAAGGAGCCGTAAAAATCCCACAACATTTTTCCCCCTCCAACCAACAAGGCATCGCCATCGAAGGATCGAGGGGCTCATCCCATCGACCTCCTCCAAAATGCCCATCTCGTGCAAGGCTCGGTACACCCCCATGGTGTGCGTCATGGCACGCGCACCACCACCGGAGGTACAAAGGCAGAACTTGGCGTTGTACGCGTTATGAGCGCCTAGGGAATTCATGAAAAAAAACCTAAGGAGATCCATAATGATGGGATTTCATGAGATTTAACTAGCCATGATGATATAATAGGATTTTAATGTGATTTTAATGGATTTTCATGAGTTGAATGGGATTTCCAATCGGATGAAACCATCAATAATGGGGATATCATGGGGATATGTTGAATTTGTGCAATGGTCAATTTGAAACATGAGATGAATGGGATGTTTGTCAATTTGATGGGAATATCATGAGATACAGTAAATGCGATATATTTGAACAGTATATACCAACAATATGATCCACCATGAATCAGTGAGGAGATTGTATTTTTTGAACCGGAAATGATGATTTAAACCATGATGTACCAACATTTGACTGATGGAAATAATGGTCAACCATGAAGTTTGTGAGCGCCAAATTTGAATGACAACTATAATTGGAACAAAGTCGAAAAGAAACTCAAAAAAAACGTTCTGGGAATAGGCATTTCATCATCAAAACTGCGTGTTTTTTTAACCCCGAACGAGTGATTCTACCCACTGGTGTTGGTGGTAGAATGTTTGGTGGTTGAATGTGCAGCACCCAGAATAGTTTTTTTATTAATCAGCCACGTCCAACAGGATTTCATTTGCAGTTTTCCACGGGAAATGTCTAAGGGTTGACCCACATTAAAAATGGTTGGTAAAGCCATGGCCCATCCGCAGATGTATTCCATGTGCTGAAAACCGGCGAACTTCAGCAAGGATGTTCTCTATTGGGCTGCCCCCCGTGTCCAGACAAAAACAATGCGTGTACAATCGAACAAAACCAAACCCATTCCAGGAAGACAAAGCGCTCTCTCACTCTCTCAGTTCATTGACCAGCCAAAAAGGTGTTGTAATATCAAAAATCCAAATAAAAACAAAACCCAATCTCGCCTGGGAAGAAGGTCGTCTCCGAGTTCACGGGAACCACATCTGCCACTAATTTGGACGGCACTGAGTTTCCCATGGTTCTTTCAAGGAAGGGGTAACCGTCAGTGACCGTTCTTGAGCCCAAAAACAAATCTACAGCGGCCAAAATAATCATCTGAGTTGATCTGAAAATGGGGGATACCCCAAGTTATGGCAATTAACAAACAGAAAACAAATATAAAGCATAAGATTTAGGTGGTATATGTTTGAGACAAGTCACCCCACCTCTCATACCTCTCCTCAACTGCAAATGAGTCTCCACGACCTCAAAGCAGCAGGCACTGTTTTTCCCCCATTTTTTGGCCTTCCATGGCACCTTCGCTCTTCACCTTCCATATTCCGTATGTTTCGCAGGTGGCAAGGCTGATGCACGATCCAACCGTGCATCTCTTCGCAGCGAGACACATCAGTGTACTGAGCACCATTCACTCCAGCTTCATGCATGTTTTTCCTCGGGTATGCCATCCTCGAACTTGGGAAATACAACGCTCACACATATCAGTGTGGCGTGCAATCTGAAAATTTCTCAAAATATAGCATTTTTTTCAAAAAATGTATTTGTTTATTCTCTTTGAAACCGTGGGCACGAATCGGCACGAACGACGTGCAACAAGCTTGCAATCATCACATGATATCCACAGACAAAGGCTCACACACTTTTAACGTCTCCTGGTGGCCTGTCTAAAGGACGGCAGGCTACCCGTCACCGGACAAAACTACTGCGAAGACCCTTGAGGTTACGAGCACTCAACCAAGAAGACTATGTACCTCCTGTCAGGCTTTGGGAAGTTGCTCGCCGCCTTTTCCCAGAAGATAACCTGACTGAACCCAATTCGCTCCATAGCGTCTTTGAGCGGGCAAGCTACGAACATCGTTGGGATTTACAGGCTGAGTGCTGTCAACCTCAAGAGTGGACATGTCGTTGCTGCCCTCACAACCCTGGTGATGGCAGTGCTGCCGGAAGAGTTCCCTGCTTTGGAGGCAACTGACACAGTCCAAGTCTTTGTTGATGTACAAAGCGTTGGTCAGTGTCCGGTATCCGGAGTTAGTTGCACTAACAGAGGGAGGTTACCAAATTGGACATTTCGTGCCGCACCCTCATACTGACCAGCATGGTGGTTTCCTTACTGTTTTTTGGGATGTTCCGTTGGACCTCACCACTTGCCAGCTCTTGGTTTTGCGTAACCGTGACCTTCTTCTGCAGCATGGTTTCACTTCGGAATGGGAGGGCGGCATACGGGTGTCGTCAGTGTCCTCTGCGGCGGGAGCCACAGCTATAGGGTGGCTGTGGTTGTTCGAAACCGGAGGGAATTCCTCAGTGGCAACAGGCATGATGCTACACCCGAAGACAGAGAGGACTGTTATGGCAGAGGCACATTCGCACTCTCAAGGTCTATTCTGATCACATACATGGTCTCCTCATACTGCCAGGGATGACGCAAGTCCTGTCGTGCTACCACTCAACGTTTCTTTATTCTCCGCAATCGAAAACTGCGGAGTTATCTCGATCATTCTGAAGGATGATTCAGCTGTGTTCGAATGGAGTCTTAACAATCCTTTCCTGCCCCAGGACCGACCACCCTTGGCTATTGCCATGCTGGCGGATCGAACCAGAACAAAAGTACATTTGGTGCCATCTGGTTGTGGTCAAAGTGGAAAAGCTTAAAGTCTGTGTGGATGTCAGGACTGCCTGGCAACGCAACCACCGTCCGTCCGCCATGTTTCAGTCCAGCGTTGACAACCAGGAGTTCGTATACGGATATGCGGCGGATGGCTTTCGCTGGCCTTTGTGACTGTTGGTCTCTGCAGAGTCAGGGGTGCTGCCCGTCCACAAGCGTAGGAGTAGCAAAAATTTTTTCTCCTCACTCGCCGGCATCCATTTCTTTGACAGCTGGCGCCTACACCCACAACTAGGGCAACCCCAGGACCTAGAGCCATTGATCAGTCGTGTTTCCACGGCTACGGTTGCAGGAGACAATGAAGACGCTCAATCTGATGATAAAGCTGACGGCATTTCTTGGTACGCATTCCACTGTCAGTGGTAGAGGGACGTCACCGCACTGGAGCAGTGAGTGCCGATGTAGCACATCAGCAAACACGTCTCTTTCCTGAGCCGTTCTAGGTACGTGGTAACCCCTGCTTTCGGTGCAAAGGCATGCCACTTGACTTGGGGTGCAAAAGATCCGTGTCTTCCGGGGTGTTTTCTCTTCCCAATGCCCAAAGTGCCTGGGCAGTTGCATGGGAGAATCTCTCAATTTGTGATTAATTTGTTCAGCCGCAGGCAACAAGTCCTTCACATGGAACATCTCCTGCGGCGTGAGGTGCGATGTCTGAAGAACCTGTGTTTCAGCTGTTCGAATTGTTTCCTCATCGGTGACCCTTGGTTTCCACAGTGCATCATGTAGCCAAATCTGATTTGCAGACTCGCAGCCTCGCAAGTGTCTTCAAGAATTCAAAGGTAACAATTTCCTCATACCATTCCAAAACTCTGTGGACTGCGTCTCTCGAGGCAAGTCGGTAGTCAGACCTAAAGGATGGTAGGACGTGCCGAAGAAACCTGCCTGTGGTTGCTTCCAGCTGGACACTGAAGCTTATAATAGGTTGAGAGTGGCGGTGGGCTGCGAAGGTCGTCAAAGCCACAGTTCTCAAAATGTGGTTATTGTCCGCCCGGTCATCATATCTGCCATGGTTGCAAGAGACCACTTCATGTCCGGAGGCATCGCTAGCACAGATGATGACGTAAAACTTTGACACACAAAGTTACATCGCGAAAACCGCTTTCAAACCTCTCGTGCTCAAAGTAAACCCAAACCAAACCAAAACAAACAACGTCGCGTTTCTGCAGTCTTCGACTCTCCCAGGCCGTCTCACTGTGACACACTCACACACTTTTCGCTCTCGCAGGCTTGAGCCAACGTTCACGTTGACCAACACAGTTCAGAACACAGAAACCAAGTGAATTTCTGTGGGATGAGCAAACTGGATTCCAGTCCAGTTAAGGAAATTCCAAAAATTCAACAAATCTAGTCGTGCAAAAACGATTCTACCAATCTAGAAACGTGTCAAGCAGGTCTCTTGGTTCTTAAAAACTTTTCGATTGGTTTCGTGCAAAACATTCACGTGCAGAAACCTGAAAACAGTTAACTACAAACGGAAAATGGCAACTACGTCACAACTCTTAATGACAAAAGGAGATGAAATCAACTAACTACATCAGATGTGCCTGCTAACTACAAACAAAGTCCAAACTACCAAAGTCCACAAACTACAACTACGAAATACCTAACAACTACCTAAGTTCAAGCACAGGCTCGCTACACTAGCTATACATAGGATGATTTTTCACACCCCCTTTCGAACTTGTGCAACCAAACTCAAAAGCAAATTCGGTCATTCAGCTTTGACGTCGAAACATATTGGGCACCGAATCAGCTCCAAAGGTGTAGATTTCCCGACCGTACGGCAACCACTGCAGTGATACTTCGGTCAAGTAGAGGTCACAGTAAAGGGCGCTCCAATCTCAGGATGACAAACCTTACAGACATCGCAGCTCCTTGCAGTTCGTCCCTTCAAAACAGCTATATGAGACATTTCTCACATCTGCCGAGTATTCCAGTTGATAACATCTCCAGTCTTCTCATCGACAGTCAGTTCGGAAGAATTCGAATTTCTTGCAGTTGCATAGTTGCATTGCGGCCTTTGCAGTATGTCACACACAATGCCAAAAAGATCCCAGATAGAATACCCACTATATATGCAATCAATAAGAGCCAGTAGAGCTCTTCCATCTCTCTCAGGCGGCCATGGCCTGCGCGACCTGCCCACACACATAAGTGGCTGCGGAAATCCAATCAAGCTCACGCTGAAATCCATTCCAAGCAGTCCACAAACATTCCAAAGACAGTCCATCAAGGAAAGTCCAAAAAAAATCCACAGAGAATCCAAAAGTCCAAAGATCATCCTCTTGATTGATGTCTCTTGGATACTTTTGCACTCTTGCACTTGAAACTTGAATTGATTCTTGCAATCGTCAGACCTCAGAGTCTCGATGATTAGATCCGACTACCCAAGCAACGCACAGGGCAACGATCAAAGAGACCTTTTGCCTTATGTTTTGAACATATACAGCTGTCTCTATCCAGACGACTTCACAAGTTGATCCAAGTATCTAGCTGACTTCACAAGTCCACTACAAACGCAGCAGACTCCCCTTTTTCACGGGGGCGATAAAATCAGCATAGCTTCGACGCTTTCGATCACCTGAGGGCAAGTACTGCGAGCATTCGCACAAAAAACCTTACAAACTTCCTGGAATATTTCTCTGACAACTGAAAGTCAGAAAAATTGAATGATGCATGAAAGTCACAAGCACAATGAAAACGTTTCTCAAGACGTTGACTAAGTTCTTCTGAACTCGACATGATCCTGAAAGCTTTCTTAATGGGTAAACCTGGAATCCTTCGATTCCCTGAGGGCTCCCCAGCTTTCAGTTGCGGCAGTCAAAGCATTGGAGATCATTTGCATCAGCAACACCAGCCTTTTTGTCCGGAGCTTTGCTATTCTGCTTTTTTGCTGCAGTCCGATGGTCAGACTTTGCACGGATGGAGAACATTTGGACTGACAGATGTGGGGACCTGGTTTTGGTAGAAGCAGAGACATCCAAGCACAAGACGTCGAAAAGCAAACAGGCCAAGACAAGCTTGGCCGTTTCTGCTGTGAGGAAGTCTGGAGTGAATGTTTTGTACAGCATAGAACACGATTAAGAAGAACACAGGGCAATCTTTTCTGCCATGTTGGAATGACAGGAATGGTACCTGGGCTGTCTTACCATGACAACTGCGGAAGCATCTTTGTTTTTGAAGAGTTTCTGGAGACGGTTCTGGGCGACACGGAAGCTGCAGTACAGTTCACATTCCTGTAAGCCCACGGTCTCCACTTGTGCAGCATGAACAAACCTTGGACATCACATTGAACCCTTAACCAATTGGCCACCACCTACAACAGGGATTCCAATTACTCCTGCAAGCCAAGGTTTCAAAGGTCCCGGACATGGTTGTCAAGAATGAGTTG